TTCTGAATATCACCATTTCAATTTCTGGTTGTGGCCTATTTGTCTTGCAGTTATGACCGCCATCGTCTAATTTGTCAGCACCTATAACTCAAGGTGACAAGCATACAATTTGTATCAGTTTTGATCTGCCTACCAAGAGACCATCTGCTAAAAAGATGGCTTTATACTCTTTCTGCATATACTGCATTCTGCTGTGAACTTTGCAGCTCTGCCTAATGGCATGCAGTCGAAACTTTCAAAGACAATTTAGACAATAAAAGCCAGAGAATGTTCCTTGGTAAGAAACTCTTTTTAGGAATGGAAAAGCATACCATAATCTTCACAAATGTCCTTGAATAACAAAAGATCCAGGCCCATAACATCACCAGGGCAACTGAGAAAAAATATTCATGATAAATTTATATAATACTAAAAATTTAATTTGTATGCCTTAGAGGAATGAGGTTGCACTACAAAATAATTAAATCATTTAATAATTAAATGATTCTGAAATTAGAAAAGTGCCATTAAGTTGGAGTAACATCTGGGCTGCAAAATTTGGACAACCCCAAGAATCATAGTGTAAATTTGTGTTTAGAAGTTTCCTCATCCAGCAAATCTTACTTCTTACATGGCTTCTTACAAGACAAAAAAAATAAAAATAAAAAACTCAGCTAAACACAGAAGTAAAAACCATCTCAGCTTCTGTTGGAGCAGTTGCCAACATTGCAAAACTCTCGACTTTAAAGAAGGAAAATGATAGCAATATTGAGTGACCAAATTCAAGGTGCTGAGGGTTTCTTCCATTTATGCACAACCCTTCAATCTCTGTTTGCTTCTTTACTTTGCTTTTGTCTTCATTCTGTCCCTTGTCCCCCCCATCACCGTAATTTCCATGTTCCCAACCCTGGACCTTGGGTTTTTCTGCACACTCACATTCCATAAAGACATTACCAGAAACCGACACCAGGGGGAGCCCTCTTCAAAACAATTGCTCGGTTTCCAGCTTCCAAAGGCAACTGCGGTAAATTTGCCCAAGTGCCATAGCTCCAGAAAATAGGAGTCTGAGATTGTTTGAAGAGAGAGTGAGAGGCCTTCCCAGGAGCAGAGAGGAAGTGTGCAAGTGTAGATCTAAGTGCAAGGAGCCATTGCTTCCTATGAATAGTAATAATGAAACTATCAGTTGGTCAAGGGAAAAGGGCAATACTCGGTTCTCCAAGTTACCTTGGGGCTCAGTGATTTTCCCCATGTTATTTAGTATCTACATGAAAGTGCTCAGGCAGGTCATTCAGCAGTTTGGGCTGAGGAGTCATCAAGGTCCTGATGATACCCAGGTGTACAAGCCAGAGATGCGCAGAAGTCCTGAACTGGTGCTTGGAAACCAAGAGGATCTTGATTTGATGAAATAAGATCAGATTAAATCCTACCAGACAGAGTTACTAGTTGTCAATAGAAATTTGAATATCTAGTAACATTAGATTACTCTCATTGTTACTCTTCATGGAGTCACACTCCCTCTAAAGACATTGGGTCATGACTTGGAGGTTTTCCTGGGCTCTTAGCTCCTGCTGAAACATCAGGTAGAAGCTGTGGCGATGGGAGCTTTTGCCCAGCTAAGTTATGACACCACCTGGACCAAAATGCCCCAATCACCATCTGGTTGGACTACTGTAACACGCTCTACCATAGCAGAAAAACTTCAGCTGGTGCAAACTGCATAGGTTAAGTTCCTTGTGGAAAGAGAGCAGCAGGCAAGAATAACCACTCTTGAAGTTGGTGCATTTGTTGCCAAGAGGGTTCTGGGCACAATTTGAAGAGATGGTGGTCACCTCTAAACCCTTAACGGTGAAGTACCAGGTTACATCAGCCTTGCCTTGCCAGAATCAGATCTGCCTGTCCAGTCTGGCCATTGAGAGAGGGCCTGTTGCAGGTCCTCTCCTTGTGGAGTACATTGACTGTGAACCAGGTGACAGGCCACCTAGTGATGACCACCCTCTGTGGAAAACTCTCCCTGCTCCAACGCTGCTGGTATTTGGCAAATAATGCCTGGTCATCAGATCCTCAGTAGCTCTTGACTTAGGCTGTACAGATTGACTAGTAATAAGGCTGTCCTTATTGTGGATGAGGGGGATGACCAGGCATCTATTACAGAGGTGTGGATTGGCATGGGGGGCCTTCTAGGAAATGTGCCTGCCTAAGTTTCAAGAGCGACGTCATCCCCTACCTCAAAAGAAGGCAAAGGTATAGTTGTTGCTATCCAAGAGACTCTTGTGGCTCTTGCGTCACAGATAACCAGATGCGAGACTCTGAGATTGGGCTCTAGGGAAAGATGGGACAGTTGTTACTATACTGGCCTCCCTGCTGCATAATGGCTACTTGACATTAAGGCTAAGCTGACAATCAAATTTCCCACAATTACAGCAGTGGGAGACACAGTCTGCCGTCCTTGGCACAGAGTCTGAAGAGGCTTGGGAATTTGCACTGGCCATGGAGTACAACAGCGGTCTTGTGTTGGATCTGGTTTTCATCTTGGGACAGTGGCAATGCGGAGTTCAGTATTTGTCCCTTCTCACGGACAGCTCACTGATAGTTTTCCAGAGAACAGAGTTCTCCATTCCTGCTTCTTGCCACAGAGAAGAAAGGGTTGGACTAATTTATGGAAGTCCTGGGGATCCACTGCTCTTAGCCTTGACAACAGTGTGACTGCCTCTGAAGGCCATCTGTTGGGAGACCAGTGGGCTTCTTGTGCAGTTGGTGGGCCATGGGAGAACAGATGGCTGGGCCAGAGGGGCTGGGGGTCCAACCCAGCAGGACATGGCTTATGTTCTTATCAGCCATTCAGCTGGTCCACCCTTGGTCCCTGATGGACTCCACCAGGTTTCATAGGGCGCTTGGAGAAGTTCTTGAAGAGCCAGGGCGCAGATGGACTGAGGCCTGAGTTGTCTCTTGGAATGAGAGGTGGTGACAGCCTTGGATCAGACTGGGCCTGTGTGGCCTTTCTCATTGACGTACGACCCCAGTCCACCTCTGCTTCACTCTTTTGACCTCAAGCTTGTCTCGGGCGGAGGCCAAGCTGAGCTCCAGCCTTTAAAAGGGGAGCTCCATCCTCCATCGATGTACCACAATCTGCTTCATTTGTGTAGGAACAGAACCATCTGGGTTTATTAACTGGGTGTTGCAGGTTCTTTCTTGATCCACAACTAATCCGACTGACCCAGACTCTAAAGAGGCAGGAGTATCAGGTATGTTTGCTGCCTTGAGTTATAGCCTCTGTTTGAGAAAATAACTACTAAAACTTCCAGAGTTCCCCAGCCAGCCAACTTTAAGAGGGGGGGACCTCACCAGCTGGGGGATTCTGGGAGTTAAAGTTCCCCTGTGGTTGGGAAACCCTGAGCGGCGCCCCTCCTCCTCAGAGCCGAATCCCCCTCTTCTCCTTCCCCTTCCCCTTCCCGAGGCGGCCCAACTCCAGGCAGCCATCTTGTCTCCTCCCTGCGCAACGCTGCTCTTTGATTGGCCGCTGGGTGGCCCAGACGATGGGGGGGCAAAGAGGGAGGGCGGGGCAGCCCCTCCTGAAGGAATTTCGTTTTCTTCAGCGACTTCAACTCCACGCACGAAAGAAGCAATTTGGAAAAGAGGGAAAATGCTAAAAATATGTTAACTCTTATTAAAATTCTTCCAATCGTCGGATTTTCCAGATAGGTTAATTCCTCCCAAGGAAAGCCGCCGCGGGCGGGGCAGACCCCCGGCCCTTTGGCGCGCCCGTCCTCGCACCCCCGGGGTCTTTGCGCGCCCGGCCGCCTCGCTTCCCCGCAGGCGCCGCCAGGGGGCGCCCTCTGCGGCGAGGCGAGGCGCGGCGGCCGAGCATGCGCGGGGGAGCTGCGCGGGCTGCCTGCCGCTGCCGGCTTTCCCTCCGGGCAGCGGCGCCCCCCCGGCCCCCCCGCGACGATGCGAAGGGGCAGCCTGCGCGCGAGGGGCGCATCTCCTGGGGCGCGGAGGGCCCGTCGGGTGAGGGCAGGGGCGCCGCAGGGGCAGCGCCGCGCGTGGCGTGCCCGCCTCGAGGGGGTCGCCCGGTGGGTCTGGGGGAGGCGTGGTTGCAGGCCCCGGCGGTGGGCGGGGGGCATCCTGGCCCACGGGCAGCGCCCTCCCCACCCCC